GGTGGATGGATGGATGGATGGATGGATGGATGGATGGATGGATGGATGGATAAGTAAACTGTGGGACATACACACCCAGGAATACTCCCCAACGTGAGAGTGATGATAAACCTGAAAACACCTCACCACAAGGTAGACGGGAAGCTGAGTGGAATCGGTCAATCTTCAAAGGACAGCTGTCATTGAAGTCGGCTCTTGGAAAAAGCCAAGGGATGGTTTCCACACAAAGGGAAACATTCTTTGAATGGCTGCCAGGATGGGCGTGGGAGAGAGGAAAAGCACGCGCTGAATAGGAGACACCTGTGAACTTGAATGACGAGAAAGGCGATTCGCAGTATCAGGGAAGACAGACAAAATGACCAAGGCAAAGGGAGGCACTTGGAGGGATACCAACGCAAGAGCACCACTGGGTAGGACCATGGCAGCACAAGCCTGAAGCAGAGATAACAAAGCATCGTTCTGAGTGGATCCACGAGGGTGCCATCAGGGGGATACTCACACATATAGGTAAGTTTGGCAGCAGACATCGATCCGTGTACATCCCCCTATCTTCTAGAAACAGATCCATGTATACAACGGAGCACGTGGGGAGGGGGGCACAGACCTGAAAACTCCTCAGCCGTCACCAAACTCCTAGACGGATTCAGTCACTGGACTTGAGGGCTTCCGATCACGGTCATGCAGGACAATCGATTTGATAAAGTCCATAAAAACACCGTCCCACATCCTCCCTTGGCAAGTAGCCACTGGAGTTTTGAAAGCTTGCGAGTGGCCATCGAAGAATCAGCCACTGTCCATCCTCTCTCCAGCTGGAGCGGACACGAATGCGGAAGAGCAAAGATTCGAGGACACATCTGGTCCAAAGGGCGGATGGACCACACAACCACAGCCTCCGTTCACTTGAGACCGGAAGAACCAGATGGTGGCCGGCAAGGACTACCAACTGTCATTTCAAATTAATAAATCAGACCCAACTCACTGATCTGATCGAGTCCCGTAAGACTATGTCTCTTAGACACTCTTCGAACGTGGAACTGAACCCACCCCGAGGACCACCTTTCAGCCAGGGGATAGACAGGTCTATAAAGTAACATCCAAGAGGAATGTCCCCCTCAGAAGAATCAACTACACATGGCTAAAAGGACATCCATTGCCCAAAAGCAAAATTCAGAAGGCAGGTAAGAACACGAAGGAAGGAGGAAGAGAGACAGGGAGCCCAGGGGGAAAGTGGGCAGAGTGCTCTACCTTGGGGAGATGGCAATTCGTGTCAGGAAACAAAATGTTGAACCGGGAACAATTGTGTTCTACAACTCAGGACCAAACCAGCTCACTGCCAGGCGTCAATCCTGACTCTCAGAGATTCAGATGGGCAGGGCAGAACTGACCCGAGGGTTCTGGAGAGGATGACTCTTTACAGGAATAGAAAGCTTCATTCCAGCCCCACCCACCCCCATGGATTGGCTGGTGGCTTTGAACTGCTGGCATTAGCAGCACAACATGGACCGTAATAAAGTGTTGTTTACCAGAAAGAAAGCAAGCAGACAGTGCTTGCTCTCCTGAGATCCAGAAACCAAATGACAGCGACCCTATAGGACACGGTAGAACTGCCCCTGTGGGTTTGGGAGACAGTAAATCTTTACGGGAGTAGAAAGCCTTGTCTGTGGCTGGTGGTTTTGAGCTGCTTACTTACGAGGACTGAGGTGCGCCAGCCCCAAGCCATGGTATTCTCCATGGTCTCGTGTGCATGCGAAAGCTGGACGTTGAATAAGGAAGACAGACGAAGAAGTGATGCTCTAGAACTGTGGTGCTGGAGACGACTATTGAAAGTACCAGGGACTGCTAAGAGGACCAACACGTTCAGAATGATCCTTAGGTGCCAAGATGACAAGACTTCGTCTTACATCCTTCAGACATGATGTCCAGAGAGACCAGTCCCTGGAGGAGGGCATCGTGCCTGGTAAAGTGGAGGGGGAGCACAAAAGAGGAAGGGCCCTCAACAGGGCAGACTGATACCGTGGCTGCCACCATGGGCTCAGGTGCAGTCACAATGTGGGGACGGCGCAGGACAGGGCAGGGTTTCGTTCTGTTGTGTGCAGGGTCCCGGCGGGCTAGAATGGACTGGGTGGCACCTCCCACCACATCAAACCTTATGGTGAGCCACCAGGCCTCCTATTCCCCTGCGATGGGGCGCCGGACGTCTTCAAACGCCAGAGAGCAGGGCAGCCCTGGAATCACCTCTGGAGGTTTCAAAGGCCTGGGCACCTTGCTCTCCACCCCTCCCGACCTGCTGTCAGCAGAGAACAGGGACGGCCAGCAGGGGCAGCAGTCAGCACGGATTTAGACTAAGTCTCTGACCGCGGCCCACCCACGTTGGCTACGGTATTTCTCTCCACCGTGGGACCGACGTTCCTGACAGACGGATCTGTTTCTGACTGAAGTATTTGTAGATATCACACCTTCTCACGCTTCTGTCCACCACATCGTGAGCGAAAGAGAAAAAGAGCCAGTGTCCTTTCTCCGAGGAGTTCCCCACAAAGACGCCTCTGGCTGGTCTACCTAGAGGGGGCGGGGCTGCCTACGGTGTTTCTTTTGTGTTTTGTTTCGTTTTCATCGTCTGTGCCATATAGCCAGTAGAAGAACAAGACACCTTCAAACGCCCCGTGCTCTTGTTACTGCCTGGGTGCTCCGTTTTGCCCGGCACCCGCTGCTGTCCTGGGGGGAGAGACTGTGAGTTTCAGTTGATCAAGACATTGAAGGTAAGGGTTACCATGGGCTGAGAAATCCCCAGTGAGCCACACTTTCCTCGCTGGAAAAGGTGGTGGTTGTTGCTGCTGCTGCTGCCCAGCCCGGGAACAACCGAACAGAAGCTTCCAGAAGCTCCACCCTGCCCAGCTTAGCCAACCCCATGAGACTGCTGTCATCCGCCAGGTTCTCCTTGGTTGATTTGGGGTGGTCCATCAACCAGACCTTTCTTCCTAGCCTTAGTCTGGAAGCTCTGCTGAGCTCCACCCTGTTGAGCATCCCAGGGACACTCAAGTCTCCAGAGACCGACGATGGGAGTATGCGTGATGTGTGCCTGGCAGGACTCAAACCTGGGTCTCCTGCCTATCCTCCTGCCGGGGAAATCGATTCCAACTCAGAGGGACCCTAAAGGGCAGAGGAGAATTTTAACTTAGGGTTTCCCACGCTGTTGGTCTTGAGGGAGCAGACAGCCTCATCTTTCTCCCTCGAAGCAGCTGATGGATTGAAATGGCCAACTTTGAAGTTCACAGCCCAACCCCTCACCTGAAGGCGAGAATTCTCCCACGTAGCCACAATGCCCCAAGCTGGCAATAATGCATCCCTCCATAAAGCCCCGCGCGCGCGCGCGCCTCCATCTGTGTTCTTACCTGTTCTCTAAGTCAAAGTTTGGCTGGCAGTGCAGGGGGCTGTGTTTGAAGACCCAGAGGCAGGAGATGTTCCCAGGGATGCTGAGCGCCACCTGCAGGGTGAAGGAGGCGGACACGTCCACCTCGACCTTGGCTGCTACGTAGATGGACTCGGTGCCCTTGGGCCTCGGTGAGCAGCCGAGGTCTTCTGCTGGTCTGGACTCCTACGTGGCAGAGACAACAAGGTCAGCCGACTACAACCAACCCAACACTGCCATTGAGTTGAGGCTGACTCATCGTGACTCTGTAGGACAGTGAAGAACTGCCCCTGTGGGTTTCTGAGGCTGTCTATATTGACCAGAGTAGACACCTTTGTCTTTCTCCCAAGGAGCAGCTGGTGGGTTGGAACTGCCGACCTTGTGGTTAGCAGCCCAACCTATAGCCCACTACACCACCAGACTACAAGGCTGTGTTGAATGCATCCTCTGTGTAGCTGGAACCATTATCAGCTATGAGCCCTGGCTGCGTAATAGTGTGAAGGAACAAACCATCTGCAGCACCAAGCTGCAGATAAACACTGGGCTGCTAACTGCAAGGTTGGTGGTTTAAACCCACCAGCCACTCTGAGGGAGAGAGAAGAGGCTGTCTGCTCCCGTAAAAATTTACAGCCTCAAAAACTCTGTAGAATTTTGCCTAACTCAGAATCGACTCGATGGCGGTGGGTTTCACACACACACAAAACTAAGTCCACTGCCACCTCATATTGGTCTATAGGACAGAGTAGAACCACTGTAAATACCACTAGGAGTTGCATTCACACACACACACACACACACACACACACACACACCCTCAGGGTGCTTCCAAAAGTGCATAGACAACTTCCATTATCTTTTAATCCCATTCTCCATCGCCCCCTAAAGTCTCCTCATATATATGAGAGTAAGAAAATATTGCCACTAGAATTCTGGTGCACATGTGCACAGTTTATTCTAAGCCAAACATGTCTGGACAAATCTCTGTCATCGTGTGTGACTGCAGACTAGCTATCTCCGGAATACATTAGCCACAGTCTCTCTTAAGGTGCCTTCCAAAGACGGTCCAATTGAAACTGACTTCCGAGTGAATCTGGTGGGTCCATTAAATCTAACACAGAAAGATCAACTCAGAAAGCTATGAGGACTCTTTTGGGGGACATCCCCCTCCGCCAAGGAGTGACCTTGCTAGCTCTACACAAAGGACACAGGAAGACCACGGAAGCTTCTGAGGAGGAAATTTGAAGAAAATGGAAACGTATACTGGTGAGAAAAAGCACAGAAAGTTATGCTGAGAAATGTCCCCGTACCACGACCAGGCACCTGTGCTTCCTTCCAGAGTAGCCGGGGCTGTCAGGGGAGAACTCCGTAGGGGAGACCTGACTCCATCCATCCTGCAGCTCTGATCAGACCCCTTCAGACTTCTTTTTGTTCCCCATTCCTAAATACCATTTGCTGGGAACCCAGGCTGAGACCCTCGAGGATACAAAAACTGTTTTGTGGTAGGTTAATTGAATTGTGCAGCATTCTTCAGGGAAGGGTTTGGAGAGGTGGGAACACCGGGTTTCAAAAGGATGTCAGAAGAAAAGACAGACCCAATGACTTCAGTTGCATCCCAAATAAATCACACAGCCACTGTGAAAACCCAAACCCAAACCCACAGCCACCAAGTCTATTCTAACTCGCAGCGACCCTACAGGACAGAGCAGAACTGCTCCTGTGGGTTTCCAAGCATGGGGACAGGGACAGGGAGCGCTATGGGGTTGCTGGGTGATGAACAGGTGACCACATTCCAGTGCACTGAGAGTTGGCCTGGGAGAAAAGCCTGGCGATCTACTCCTCCAAGCATCCTCCGGTGGAAACCCTATGTCCCCCAAGTGGACTCTGGTACTCAGGGCGCTGTCATCCGTTGCCTTGGCAACTGTTGGTTTTTTCATAGGCGTACATATCACTCGAAACCCACTGCCATCTTCTCTGCCAACAGCGACTCCCCAGCACAGAGCAGAACTGCACCCTTCGGATTTCCAAAACCTGGAATCTCTGCAGGAACAGACAGCCTCATCTTTCTCCTGAGGACCAGATGGTGGGTTTGCACCACTGACCTAGTGGTTAGCACCTCACTGCATGGCCTACTACATCACCAGGGCTCCGAGGTAAAAACATAGACGTGGCCATACAGAGGGGAATGCAGACAGATGTGGGAGTAAGTGTACACATCTATATTTCCCAGCTCAGTCCACTGACTCAGCCTCCCAGCAGTAATGCACACACCATCCTCCAAGAAGACCTCCAGCGTCTTTCCAAGGGTTGGGCTGGACAAATAAGCCTGAAAGATCTAGTACCCGAAGATATGGGCGTGATGGGAAAAGATCTAGTACCCGAAGATAAGGGCGTGATGACAGCACGCAGGAACCCCCGCAATAATTGCCTTGAGAACATCTTCCAACCTTCAGCCAGAAATACCCGTCGGTGTTCTCTTGTTGAACTTGACTAGTGAAGCATGTCGACCTTGAGCACTGTGCTCTTTGATGGGGTCCAATGGACAACAGTCGCTCCAAAAAGATAAAGGAGCACTTGGGTCATCGTAACACAAATAGTCAACGAGCTGGCCAGCCATGGCCATCGAGCTCATCTGGAGAACTCCAGTGATTCTGGGTCTCCGTAGACAGAAGGCCCATTTGTGAAAACACGTGAGTTCCCACCAAAGTGGGAACCTGTGCGACAGCAGTCACTGCAGCCCTGTTCACAACCGGCGCAGGTGGAAACAACCCAGCGGTCCATCGACAGGTGAGTGGGGCGGCGCAGGGTCTGCGGTGCATAGAGCTTCTGTGAAGAGCGATGGGAAAATGGATGAAGCGATCATGGTGCTAGTTCCACAGCATAGTGAACGTAATTAGCATCCCCACATGGTAGGCATGGAGAAGGTTGGCATGGAAAAGACTTTGTTCCCTGAATGTTGATCACAACAGAAAGGGGAAAAGGAGAGAAAAGGGGTGAGGGTGTATTGGCATGAATATTGAACTGGAAACGTCCATGGGGGTGGCTAATGCATGTTCATTTTTTGTTGTATATAGTAGGTTGCTAATGTTTGTGTTTCCCTAGCATTTAAACATCCTTCGTTTGAGTAAATTCCCTGTTTTGTGAAGTACAGAGAAGGGATTATCTGGGCAGTGCTGGATGAATGATACGGAGGAGAGGGAGTCACGGAAGTCAAGGTGAGGACTTGACCGAGCCAGTTTCTGAAGCACTTAGTGGTTGTGTTTTATACATCATTTTATTGGGGGCTCTTACAGCTCTTATCACAATCCATACAACAGATGTGTCAAGCACATTTGTACATATGTTGCCATCATCATTTCCAAAACATTTTCTTTCTACTTGAGCCCTTGGTATCAGCCCCCCTTTTTACCCTTCCCTCCCCAACTCTCTCACCCTTGTAAACCATTGATAAGTTATAAATTATTTTATTTTCATATCTTACACTGTCTGCTGTCTCCCTTTGCCCATGTTTCTGTTTTTCGTCTCCCTGGGGGGTGTTTGAACATCAATCATTGCAATTGGTTCCCCCCTACACTCATGGTATCGCTACTCTCATTATTGGTGCTGAGGGGTTTATCTGTCCTGAATTCTGTGTGTTGAGAGCTCTAACCTGTACCAGTGTACATGCTCTGGTCTGGTCAGATTTGTAAGATAGTGCTGGGGTCACTCATAGCCCTACTGGGGACAACACTGGAGACACAGTGTGGGAATTGCACCTGATCTGACCCCACCACACAGAAGCAAAACACAAAACACTAAGGCCGTGCAAAAGAACAGCAAGGTGAGCAGAGCAAAGAAGTCCCGAGGAAGTACCAAAAGTAGACTTTGGAGCCAGGGCGTGGCACCCCATCAGACTTGACCAGAAAGCACTCCTAAAGGTCAACAGACCTTGAACTATTTACAGGCTTTCTTTCTGTGTGTGTGTCATTAGTTTTTCATTGTTGTTTTGTTTTGCTCTATCTTGTTTTTGTGCATATTATTATCTCTGAAGTTCTATCTAGATAAGATAGGTGGGATAAACAATATGAAGGAGAAAGCAATGGGACTGACAATTCAGGAGGGATATGGGAGAGGGGATAAGTGGGGGAAAGGAAGTGGTGTTAACAAACCCAGGGACAAGGGAACAAGTGATCCAAGTCAGTGGCAAGGAGGGTGTAAGAGGCCTGGTAGGGCTTGATCCAGGATAATGTAACTGAGACGAATTACTGAAACCCTAAAGAAGACTGAGCATGATAGTGGGACAAGAGGAAAGTAAAAGGAAATAGAGGAAAGAACTAGGAGGCAAAGGACATTTATGGATGTCTAAATACAGACATGGACATATGTAAATATATTTATATATGATGATGGGGAAATAGATCTATGTGCATATATGTATAGGTTTAGTATTAAGGTAG